GCTAACGTTTATATTGACAGATTGAAACCAGCTTATGTACTCAACGATGAAATTTTGTCAGATAATTACTCATATATTACTTAGGAATGTATGACAAGCAGCAAAAATATATTTAAAAAAAGAAACAGTAATAAAATTGTTTGTAATAAGCATAACGAAAATACTGACGTAAAATGTAATGAGGAAAGTATACTGAAACCTGCAATTAAGGTCACTCACAGTGGCAGAAGTGTTAGGCAATCGGTACGATTTTTGCTGAAATTATAAATATAAAATTCAATATAAGTTTTAGCCGTATCAATTTAAATATTTAAGAACTTACTGTTATGTAGTAAACTCTTCAGGAAGTAAATTATAAGTACTTAGCAGAAATTGCAAGTGCTCAGAATTTTCAAAGCCAAGTAAATATGTTCAGTGTTATGTTGATAGTTATGATAGTATTAGTCAGCATGGGTTTACTATACGCCATACGTCAAAGATGCGTTAATGGCCTAAAGAAATTGATAAATAAAATAAGAAAAAAGCTGCAAAAACAGTACCAGAAGTAATTCATTTACCTAGAACCGTTACAAATGTTGCAACTGGAAGACCAAGTGTAGCTTAGGAAAATAAAGTAATATTTTTTTTGTATATAAATCTGAGTATTAAATTAAATTTGCTGTGTAAAATTGTGTTTTGTGTATCATGGAAATCCATGTAAGTAATTTTGTTAAATTTAGTCATATTACCATGTAAGTTTTTGCTAAAAGGAGTGCTGTCGAGCTGGAAGCTGTTATTATGTATTGCAGAGCAAAGCCCATTATTTAGTAACTATCTAAGACGTGTTGTTTTGCTATGTTTCTCCTGAAACATCTTAAAGACGAACCTGAGAGGCAGATGTTCGCAATATTGTATTAAATTTATATTATATGTGTACTATGAAATGTCAGTATGAAAGGAAATTTAGAGAATTTGTCAAAATTATAGTTTATAGTTATACTTTACAGTAGTAAGGTAGAGAAATGAAAATGCAAGTTTTTTTTTGTAAAAGGTTTAATCGAATTAATTTGTGTAATAATGTACAGAGCTTCACCTTAATATAAATCCGTTCTAAAAATAGAATTACATGTATTGGCCTTAAGCATTGGTATGCGTCATGTTATCACGTTCGTATCGTAGGTATTGTGATCATAAACATTGTATCGTAAGTTGAAACGATGCATTATTAGCGAGCTCTGTTGTAATACTTTGTTTTGCAGTACAACTAGATTATAAGTTGGAGTTGTATAATTATTATGGTTCAATAGATTTTTTTTGTATACGTTTAATTTTTAATAATAAAGCAAGTTTCAACGGGTTACAAGCACTGATTTTATTTATTTATTGACGTTTCGCACCCTTTGCAGTAATGTGTCGTCAGAGTAATGATTTTTTATTTACTTTGTGAAAGACTTTATTGAGCGTTTGGATATTTCATTCGAAGATTTTTAAAACTTTGTTGTCTATGCTTGAATTTATTAGCTAATTTAATTAATAAAGTACATCATTTAATTCTTTTTATAATTTTTGAGTTTATCTATTTGACCCTAACTACCGTAAACTACCACCGGTTCAAAAAATTTGAATCCTTTCTGAGAAGAATCAGTGAAACAAACTCAGAGAGGCTTTCTTATTCTTTCTGTTGGTCTTGCAGTGCGTGCTCGGGGTTGGGATTTTATCTGAATCATCTCATAACGGTATTTTTTTCTTCACATGGCAAAAAAAATGCTCGACTTTACTTAAAATAGCTGTTAACATCAATCAATAACGTCATTATCTACTAGAATAAAATATGTACTGAGCTTACAGCTCTTTAGTTTTACTATAAATACCACTACCATATAAAATTTTGCGCGTCCATGGTAGTGACACTGAATCCAGGGAAGTCAGGAAATTACTTCAAATCATGGACGTTACATTGAAATGCATTTTATATAAAGAGGTCATACATTATTTTATCCAAGGAAATTATTATATGTATTGGATTTACTAAAGAAAACCAATGTTTCGAAAATAAGCTTTTAGTATAACGCGGTGATATCGGCCGGGGGGGAGACGGGGGGAGCTCCCCACAACCCGCGCATGGAGTGCACAGGTGGGAGTTGCACCGACGGGCTGAGAGGGATTGGCGCGCACAGCTAGAGTTGGGGGGCTGTGCGCGTCAACACGCCATCGGTGCTACACTCCCGCACTTCGAAGCTTGGCTCCACGGGAAGGAGGAAGTCACCTACCGCTTGACTCAGGTACTCACCGGACATGGTTGTTTCGGTGAGTATCTGAGTCGAATAGGGAGGGAGGACACGGCACGATGTTACCATTGCGCATCCGAACTCGACTCGGCCCAGCATACGCTGGCGGATTGTCCTGCTTGGGACTCCGAACGTCGAGTCTTGGTCGGAGAAATCTGGCAAGATCTGTCTCCGCCAGCATTTTGCGAGGAAATAAAATAAAACTAAAAACAAAACCCATTTTTTTAAATAACATACTAAACTCATATCAGTCTGTTACAGTCTCTGTCGTGTAATTTAAAAATGGAATTATCTTTTACTCCAAAGCATGGGAACCAAAGGAGCTAACTTATCAAAGGTTTTATTTGAATTTCGAAGTGACCATCAAATAGGAATCTATTTATTGCAAAAAATCGCTAGAGCGTAGCGCAAGGCAAAAAAGAAAAATTTCCGCACCTGCAGCAAAGAGTCACTTACCGCATAACATAAAAAAATAACACTTTCCGAGCAAATGCATTGAAAACAAAATGTATTTTTCCTCTCGCTTTCCTGCATTTTGTGGGAGTGATTTCGTGAAATGCGACGGAAGTGTGTAACAGGAAGTCGCGAAAGCGCGCGCTATTTGATTTTAGCACATAATGTTCAAATGGCTTATTCCTTTTGTAGTAGGTTTTATTTCTTTTTTTACTCATATAAGGTGAGGTGCCAAATGTTACACATCATACGCGACTACTGTAAGACTCGCTCGTTTTTTTTTATTTGTTTAATTGGGTTTTCTTTATTTGTTGTTCATGTAGTTCTAAAATAGAACCTTCTGACTAACGCGTAAATTTTGAGACATGATTCGAAGTTGAAATCATGAGATAATCTCTTTACACCAGTTAGCGAAGACGACAAAATTAGCGATCTCTATAATGTTTAGGATTTCCAGTCACGCGTTACATTCGCTTATCAAACCTCACGGTAGTGCCTATTGGTCCCAGATGATTCTTGCAGGGCGTTAAGAAGACAATTCTGAGAACTCCTTATTGGGAAGGCGAGACTCCATAGCCTTCATTATCATTAGGTAGCCAGGGTAATAAGGTAAGTTAATAAGGCGCCATTTTTAAAATAAGTATTTGATTTATTAAAGTGAAACTTCTTTATAATGCGATTCAAATAAGAATAGGAAAACCAACGACCTCTATCTGTCAAATGTCGCTAGAAAAGTACGGTTTGCAAAAAAAACCTGGAACCCTTTTTTAGCACTCCGCTAATTCAAGAATAAAAATCAAACATTTGTGAACAAACAATAACAATTATTGATAATTAATATCGGTTGATATTTTTTTCACTTACTGAGGTTTGGCCATTAATGGTTGATAACCTAAATCGTCAACCAAATGTCACTTTAAGTTGCGTTCAAAAACTCGATTTTAAACTTTCTTTTACATAAAGGATGCATGTTCGTATGTGACCTAGTAATAGTGCATGATTATTCATAATCATAACTACTCCAGCGGTAATGCAGAGATGAGCGGAATAGAAGAGCTAGATTCTGATTAATGTTTTTTCACACAGTCTTAATAAGTAAATATTATTAAAAATCGGTGGTTTTTTTTCTCAATCTTAGTAAATAAATGTTATTAAAAAATCTGATGTTTTTTCTCATTTAAACTTAGTGAATAAGTTTTATTAAATAAAATTTTTTTTTTGCTCACTCTACCTATTTGGTTTGAATTGAAAGCTATGACTTAACAATATGGCGCCCAGTCGGTCCTATTCTTAGTTGAATCGCATTATAGGCACACTTAACTTGGGGGGTAAGCTGGCGAATGCGTTACGCATTACGCGTTACGAAAAGTGTCACCGGTCACACATATATATTTTTACATACAGATGGAGCTAAAGAAGTTTCACTTCAGTCGTGTGGTTATAAGCACACTCGCTTTTTTATATTATTTTTAAGCATTTTACTGTTAGATTTATAAATCTAAACGGATAGTGAAGGTGCTGGTTCGAATCCCGTCTGCTACATGGACCGGGTGGAATTTTTTCTAGTAATATTTTCTCAAGTTACTTATTGGTTTTTTAATATTCGCTCGTTTTTAATGGCCATTATTTAAATACGATTAACTGAAGGATGAATCTTTTATCGTGTTGTTTCCAATCAGAGTTCGCGCCTCTTTCGAGTAAGTAGTGCATTCGATGTAAGATGGCGCGTAGTGACTACTTTTTTTTTAATTTTGTAAAAGTCTGTGTTGATTTTATAGTACAGTCTGTACAATACAATACAATACAAAAACTCTTTATTGTACACCACGAAAAACATTGAACATTAAGCACTAAACCATGTAGTACAAGTGGGCGGCCTTGTCGCTTAAAGCAATCTCTTCCAGGCAACCTTTCTGCCTGTAGGCGACAGAACGACCTCCTTCAAAAGGTTTTAGTTTTAAAAATGTTTTCCATTACGCGCGTTCGATTTTTGATGTGTAGACGCGACGACGCGCCGAATTTTATTTCTATGTTTCGGAAAGAAATTATACTAACATTTGGGTTTGCATATTAATTTATTTTGCAGTTTGCAATATTTTTTCATAGATTATTCAAAGACAAAGTTAAATGCAGCGTCACTGCACGCGTTATCTTATTTCATCGCCTATGCAGTATATGAAATAATCATTTTTAACACTACTAAGCAGGTAAATGAATTCCTTGATACAAACATCAAAGATTCAACAAAGAAATTATTAATAATTTTTATCTTTTTTTAAAGCATGTAACTGCTTGATGTTTAAATCTAAAGAAAATATAACTAGAAAAAAATCCACGAGGACCAGGCAGCAGACGGGACATTGTGGGTTGCCTATAGTGCGAAGAGATGGCGCTGCCTTGCAGCTTAAAAATGGCTAGAGGAATTTCGACGCGGTCCGTGAGGGCCACGGTGGCATGATTGGTTGGTGTATTCGCCCGGATTGCGAGGGGTGCGGGTTCGGGTCCCGTCTGCTGCCTGGTCCGCGTGGATTTTTTTCTACTTATATTTTCTTTAAATATCTTATTGTCACAGAAAAGGCAATTTAAGTATTTTATTTGTATAAGATTAACTTGCATCAATCTTAAATCATTCACGATTAAGATCTTGGTTCGAATTTAAGCCAGGTGTGTCCCAAACACTTGATGTTGAAATCATCGGCCGCTAATACGATAGGATCCTTTGTCCTCGGGCACTTCATGACTTTGAAATGCAGTATTAAGGTGAAAAACAACATCTTCAGTTCTAGCAAAGCGAGGCGGGAACCTGAAATTTGACATATTATAAAATAAAATAAATAAATATTTCCAACACTCACACCAATTAGCCTAGCCCCAAAGTAAGCACTGTAAGGGTGCGGCCAGAGTGCACTCAGATTGAGACTCAGATTCAGATTTCGAAAACAAGCGCGAGAAATAAACAGTGTAGTCGAAGGGTACGGCCAGATTGCACTCCTGATTTAGATTCAGATTCAGACTCAGAAAACAAAGCGCGAGAAAAAGCAGGCAACCTGCTTAGACTACACTGTTTATTTCTCGCGCTTGTTTTCAGAATCTGAATCTGACTCTGAATCTGAGTGCACTCTGGCCGCACCCTAAGGCTTGTGTTATGGGATGCTAGGGTAACGGATAGAATACATATACTGTACATATATAAGTACATATATTTATATAGAAATACATATTAAACATCCATGACTGGAGTACAAATGCTCGTATTCATCACACAAACATCTGCCCTCACCGGGATTCGAACCTGGGACCTCTCGGGTCGGCGACACCATGAAACCCGGCGTACAAACCACTCGGCCACGAAGGTCATCGTGAGTAGGCGTATGTGAGTAGGGCTCGCATAATCTATAATGTTAAATATTTTGATATAACTCCAGCAATGGGACATATAATAAAATGTTTCTCTATAAACATACAAAAATTACAAAAAAAATACAAACATCTTTATTATTTTTCTACACAAAAGTTTACATGGTGTGGGTCTTCTTCTTTTAAGTTAAGTTACCTATATTAGAAGAAGACCGCTTCTTCATTCCGGTCTTGATAAATAATATTACAACAAAAACTATAATTTAAATTATACTAATTACACCTGTGTGTGTGTGTGTGTGTATCGTGTGTAAGTGTGCGAGTGTGTGTGTGTGTGTGTGTGTGTGTGTGTGTGTGTGTGTGTGTGTGTGTATGGGGTGTGTATGTGTGTTTGTATGTGTGTGTGTATGTATGTGTGTGTGTGTGTGTTAGTGTGTCTGTGTATGTTAGCGTGCGTGTGGGGATGTGTGATGCGTTTGTATATATGGTGCATATGCGTGTATGTGCTGGAATGTGAATACTGAATATGGCAGTAAAAATGGATGTGATAGGGGTATTATTATTCAAGGGGTTAATTTATATATTATATAATTTTTTACATAGTAGCCTATGTACTCATAACATTGGGATAAACTTAGGAACTTTTTTTCTTTTCGTTTCACCTTTATGAGAGGTAGGTCATAGCGGATTTTCCGCTCGATTGGAGCCCCCTTTTAGTGCAGTAACCTCCACCTACTGAAGACCACAGTACAATAACACTACCTTTTGGTGGTGTTGTGTTTCTGTCGGTGAGTAAGGTTTAAGGGCTCCACGCGGTAGGGGATTCGGTCAGGGTGTGCAATGGCGCGAGTTATTTTTGATATCGCAAGTGTCTGTAGGTTATAATGGCCGCTTAGCACCAGGCGTGACTATAAGACAGTACATGAAGTAAAGTTGATTTCCAACCCTCGAGGAGCTCGATGGCGCAAGTGGTTAGCGCGTTCGGCTGCGATCGTTGAAGTTAAGCAACTTTCACAGTGGTCGGTCATCGGATGGGTACCAAACATTTACTATCTCGAGCCCCTCCGTGCTTTGGAAGGCACGTTAAGCCGTTGGTCCCGGCTGCATCTGCAGTCGTTAACACTCACCAATTCACACTGGGCCCGCGTGGTGGGACATGGCCCAATCTCCCTATTCCATCCATAGGGAAGGCCAGTGCCCCAGCAATGGGAACATTAATAGGCTGATGATGATGAAAAAATTTTTATTATTCACCCAAAGATCTCACCAATGCATGCTCGAGGACCCATCCCAAAAGGCATGAAAGTAAATGGCCGAATATTCGGTTTGTTCTCTTCGGAGAACCGATCGGGGTCGAACACATCCGGATTGGGATAGTACATCGGATCCATATGGATGGCATTTACGATATTGTAAACAAGGTCTCCAGGTCGCAACTGTTGGTAAAAATGTTCCTTTAAATTTTAAAGTACGAACATCAGATCTGTGTTCCATTTAAATGGAAAAAAAAATTCGGGAAATGTAAATTAGAAATGCATTTTAATCTTATTTTTCACTAACACTAATTAATCAAGCTCGATGGCGAAAGTGAAGCAGGATGGCGTAAGGGGTTTGCACGATCGTTGTTCATTGAAGTTAAGCAACTTTCACAGTGATCGATCATTGGATGGGCGACCAAATATTTACTATCACGAGCGGAAGGCACGCCGTTGGTCCCGGCTGCATCTGCACTCGTTAGCACCCACCAATCCGCACTGGGCCCGTGTGGTGGGTCATGGCCCAATCTCCCTATTCCATCCAGCAGTGGGAGATTAATATGCTGATGATGATGATGAACACAAATCAGTTAGCTTTATTCATAGAGCAACACGGAAGGAGTAGACATACCGACGTTGCACTATACAAATCATTCTGCCATTTTTTGTTTAGTTTATCGTACATGCATAAAAAAAAAGTTAATTTAAAAAATCAAAAAAAATCCCGACTGCTTAAATTTTACTTCAAATACAAACTGAAAAGAAAAAAACAAGTCCAGCAGTGTCAGGACCCATTAGATGTTCAAGAATGGATATTTTTTTTTTCTATTGGTCCCGACTGTAAAAGTAGCTTTGTTCCTCACATAACGGAATTATGTCTAAAATGGCACACTACAGAATCGCCCTATAGGTCCTATTGTGTAGGTACGTCCCTCTTTGATGGTGTAGTGCAGAGTTCCCCAAACTTTTTTGTGTCGTAGACCCCTTGCCATGTTTTTCCGTGTTGGGTAGACCCCCTACTTCGCTGATATTGATTTTTTTTTCGCTGACGTAGACCCCTTGCAGGTTGTCATAGACCCCTAGGGGTCGATATAGACCACTTTGGGAAGCACTGGTGTAGTGGGTCCTGTTACGTAGGTAAGGTCCAATAGTTTCAGTGGGTAAAAGACCATATTTAGGAACTACCAAATTACACTGAGGTTTCGATGTGGTTAATATCCCGTTTGATTTTGTATTTCATTCGAAGACCTACGCTCCAGCAGTATGCACTATAATATTCTACTAATGATATATTTAGGATACTTACTTTATATGGTTTTCCGCCTTCATGTGGTGGGGGCAACTCGTATTCTTTTGTGCAAACTCTGTCCATCATTACGATTGCAGACCATTTCCTGAAGGTTTCTATAAAAATAAAAAATCTATTTAAATTTTTAGGCAGAAGTAAGTAAGTTAAACGTAGTAATTGCTTAAATTATAGACAACTACGGAACCCTACATTGCGCGTGGCACGAGACGCACTTGGCCGGTTTTTTTATAAAAAACTTTTATTATTTAAATTTTTATTAATGAACCTTATTTTAAAAATTGTTACCCACGTGAAATTTCTAACATATTATTTTATTTTTACTATGATCCTGCTCACCATTAAGAACGCAGTCCAAATATTTGAGTTCATTGATGTTTTCGTATGAGAGTTTCCCTATAGTTTCGCTGAAATTCTTGATTTCTTCGTAAAGTTTCTCTTGTACTTCAGGATTTAATGCTAGCTCGTGCAGGCACATTGTGGCAGTGGAGGCAGTTGTCTCGAAGCCCGCAATGAAGAACGTCAGTGCTTGCCCAACTATTTCCGGCATCGTCCACTCTGGAAAGACAGTCATTTACTTAAAAAATATTAAGACTCATATAACTTCTATAGCTTTGCTCCAGTTAGATTTGATTTTGAGTGAATGAATGAATGTCAAACGATGTTGGTGCTCCCTTTTAACTTTGAACCCCTTTCCTTTCAAAATCCTTTCTTATCGCACGCTTACACCAAAATAGCTTTATGTGTGCCTTAGGGCAATGCCCACTTTGTATGGGAATTTGGCTTAGCATGGACAGGTATTTTAACAAGTTAAACTATACAATACAAGAAGCTTAAAGTAACCAGAACCTTTAAATCATTATAATTTTGTATCAGTATTCTTTAAAACAATTTTAGCACCTCGATGGAAAGAGGTAATATCATAAGTGGTAGATTATAAGAGTAAGCACAAATAAGTCATTTTTGCAACAATTTATAATATTCGAAGTCATTATATTACAAATGCGATGTCTAGACACTGGGTAGATTATTTTTTTGTTACAAAATTAAATTTGGCTGTGTGACATGTGGAGCCGTCCTGTTGAAACCACATATCAGTGAAATCCACGTCATCAATAATTAGGCCAAAATTCGCCATTTTGTGGTTCTGTGTAAGCCCAATTATTGAAAACGTCGCGGAATTGACAAATTTGGATCTGCTTCCACACTGTGGCTCACGGCTGCGATGCTTTCAGTCGAACGACCCGGTCGAACACGCGTTGGTGTAGGCAGATTTTGTATCGAGCCTATCGGCTCAAATTTAACGACCAAATTCTTAATGGCGGTCTCAGAAGGACGATTATGTTGTCCGAAAATATCACGAATTTGACAAAATGTAACTGTAACAGAACCACTATTTTCATAGTGGATTTTAATTATTTTAATTCGATTTTCAAGAGAAATTGAATTCATTTTAACAATTGCCAATGCATCTACTACGAATACGTTAAAAAACTAAATGTCAAAACTAGAATATTGTTGATGTAGCCACAATTGAAAAACAAAGTTCTTGTTGAACAACCCTGTACATAAATGTCTTTTCTACTAACTAACTCACTTCTAGCTTGATGTAAATTTATGTACCTTTGAATATATACATTGACCGGACTACTATGTTACAATCATATAAGAAGCACTTAACTATGCTGTGATTATTTTATGATAGTTGGTCAAAATACTGAGATGAGTCACAATGAAATAGTATACATTTTCATGTCTTTTTTACTCGTTCCGTTTTTTAATTCTCTATGCATGACATTCGTTTTTACATACATTAAAAATTCGTGCTTACAACGGATGTCCTTTGGGAAAATTCCTATGGCCAAACAAACAAACGTTATTTGGTTTGAAAGATGCGTACGTTGTTTGAATAGTGCAAATGTGACAATATTTTCTTTTCACTCAAATTGTGGGACCACTTAGCCTGATTTCGTATAAATTTAAGGAAATATAGCCCGTCTCTATAATATAAGACCGCGATAATGTCACTAGCGATATTTTGGCATAGATGGGAAAAGGCGTTGATAAATATTTCACTGTATATGTAATATTTCGACGACCTCCGTGGCCGAGTGGTTTGAACGCCGGGTTTCATGGTGTCGCCGACTCGAGAGGTCCCGGGTTCGAATCCCGGTGGGGGCAGATGTTTGTGTGATGAATACGAACATTTGTACTCCAGTCATGAATGTTAAATATATATTTCTATATAAAATATACTTATATATGTACAGTATATGTATTCTATCCGTTACCCTAGTATCCCATAGGGGGGGAAGGGGGAGAACAGTGTTAAACATCTTGCTGGCCCCAATTGTCATCCTCACCTACTCGTGGTCCTCCCTGTTAGATAACGAACGAGGCTCTGGCGACCGAGCAATGGCGGTATAACCACACACCCAACTGGGCAACTAGCTGGAAGAGGTCTCAGCGGCCTTGGGGTCTAAATCATCCCAAAAAATTCTGGTACGGAAAGCAATGGGAAACTACCGTTACTAATATCCCTTGTAAACAACATGAGGCACTTAAAGAGGAATGGTTTGTCATGCCACCCGGCTGACCCCCGGCGCCATGGTGGTTCCGGGCCCCATGGTGTGAAATTGGCTACCGGCTGCAAGACGTTGAAGCAGCAGGCTACTTGCAGAAACTGGACTACTGTTGCGGAAATTAACGAGCAAACCATTAAAAGACATGAAACTCTCATGACAGGCACATGGAACGTGCGGGGCCTAAACAAGGCTGGTAAAATGGAAACAGTGGAGAGGGAGATGGTCCGATGTGGGCTAGAAGTATTAGGTCTAAGCGAAACGCACCTAAAAGAAAGTGGTCACTATTACTCAAATACAGGGGTCACCGTCATCAACTCGGGGTCATGCAGTAACAGCTTCAGTGGAGTTGGTTTCCTGGTGTCTGCACGATTAGCTGCTACGATCCAAGGATACGATACAATAAGTGACAGAATAGTGCGACTGAAACTAGCGGCTTGGCCACATCCTATAAACCTCATTCAGGTCTATGCTCCCACGTCGAGCTCGTCTGAAGAAGAGATAACCAATTTTTACGATCAACTTAACGAAGTCTACCATGGAATCCCATCTAAAGAAATTACTATCGTATTGGGGGACTTAAATGCCAAGGTTGGAAAAACGTCTTCAGATGACCATCTAAAAGGAATTGTGGGGAAGTATGGGCTTGGGGAGCGCAATGATCGGGGACAAATGCTTCTGGACTTCTGTGCCGAAAATGATTTAAGCATAATGAATACTTGGTTTGAACAGCATCCGCGTAGACTTTATACATGGGTATCCCCTGACGGAAAGCACAGAAACCAAATCGATTACATCATGATAAGTAGAAGATGGAATTCCTCTATTCTTGCCACCAAAACAAGACCTGGTGCCGAATGTGGCAGTGACCACCAGTTGCTAACAGCATCCTTAAAAATCCGACTAAGGACACCAAAGCGCAACGTACCCAAAAAGACGTTGAACGTTTCCGCAGAACTGCAAGGCGAGTACGGAAAACGAGTTGAATCTCGTTTAAAAGACCTAGACACACTTCCCTCCGAATCACCAAACGCTTCATGGATAAAGCTGAAATCAGTACTTTTAGAGACGGCTAAAGAGGTAATCGCAACAAGTCCTAACTCCTTGAAGCCAAAGGCTGAGTGGATGAGCGCTGAAGCATGGTCTGCTATAGAAGAAATGAGATGCGTGAAAGGAAACGGTTTGAGTTCCGAAGCTGCGAGGGCACGATATCGTGAACTTCATAGCACAGTGCAAAGACTATGCAGACGAGATAAAAACGCCTCAATCGACGCCGTATGTCAGGAGATGGAACAATCTGCGAGTCGTGCACACACTAAGGACCTGTTTGCAAAGGTGAAACTTCTGGCTAGGGACTTCAAACCGAAGAACTGGACGATTGAGGACGAAAAGGGCTTCCCTCTGATTGATAAAAATCTTGTGCTTGAGAGATGGCGACACTACTGTCAACAGCTGTATAAAGAGAGCAATGACGATGCCGACCAACTAGTGCAATACAACGAGGAAGAACCTGACATCCTTCTCCATGAAGTAGAAGCTGCACTCGCGCGTCTTAAGCCAAAAGCATGCGGTGGCGATGGTTTGTCCGCGCAGATACTCAAGTCAATGGGCACAGAGGGAACTAGGCTCATGCATTCCATCTGCCAAAAAGTCTGGAAATCTGGAGTGTGGCCTGAGGACTGGACGGAGTCGATGGTGGTCCCGCTGCACAAGAAAGGGTCGACGCGCAAATGTGAGAACTACCGCACTATCTCGATTACATCTCATGCAAGCAAGGTGCTCCTGCACATCATCAATAAACGTCTAGAAAACTACATTGGCGGACAAATCTCAAAGGAACAGGCAGGGTTTGTTAAAGGCAGGGGAGCACGGGAGCAAATTTTAAACATGAGACGCATGATAGAGAAGTGCCGGGAGTTCAATGTTCCAATGGCTCTGTGTTTCATTGATTACGCGAAAGCCTTTGACTGTATCAGCTGGAACAAAATGTTTAGCGTAATGAGCGAGATGGGTGTTCCGGAACATTTGACCTATCTAATTCAGAAACTGTACCTTGACGGAAGGTCCAAAGTACGTATAGAGGATTCGGAATCGACTTGTTTCCGGACTAACCGCGGAGTAAGACAAGGTTGCATCCTTTCGCCACAACTTTTTAATCTCGTCGGCGAACACATTATGCGAAGAGTGCTGGAGGGGTGGGATGCTGGTATAAAAATTGGCGGACACCTTATTAATAACCTACGCTTTGCAGATGACACTACCATAATTGGAGCCAACGAAAGTGAACTTGCTGAGCTTTTGCAAAGAGTAGAGACAATAAGTGCTGATTACGGTCTCAAAATAAATCGTGCCAAAACTAAGCTGATGTTTGTAGATAGAGCGGGCACACTACAGAGAACCTGGGAGCTGCAGGATCTGGAAACCGTAAAGGAATTTATTTACCTTGGTTCTATGATTACCAGTGACGGCGACTGCGAAAAGGAGGTTGTAAGGCGAGCTCAGATTGCAAAATCGGCTGTAAAGCGGTTAGAAAAGGTTTGGAGGAACAGAGGAATAAGCAAGACGACGAAAGTCAAACTCATGCGGACCCTTATCTTTTCTATATTTCTGTACGCTTCAGAGACCTGGACGCTAAAGGCACGTATTCGAACCAAGATCGACGCGTTTGAGATGTGGTGCTGGCGGAAAATGCTAGGGGTTTCTTGGACAGAGCACCGCACCAACATTTCTATTCTCTCCGAACTGGGCATAACATCCCGCCTATCTTCTGTATGTATGCAGCGACTTCTTCAGTACTTCGGACACGTGGCCCGACGAGAACCAGACAATCTTGAAAAGCTTATCGTCGTAGGTCATGTGGAAGGAAAAAGGAGCCGCGGAAGATCACCCGCCCGATGGACTGATGCAGTCAAAGAAGTCTGCCAAACTGACATTCAGTCATCTATCCGGTTGGCCGAAAACCGCAATACGTGGAGGGAGCTGGTACACCGGGTGCCCTCATGCTGTCGCGACCCTCAGTCATGAGGTTACGAGGAAGAAGAAGAAGAAGTATCCCATAACACAAGCATTACAGTGCTTACTTTGGGGCTAGGCTAATTGGTGTGAGTGTTGGAAATATTTATTATTTATTATTACTGTTAGCTGTTCACATTCATAAGTAATACTGTTATTGTATAAAGCTTCACATGGGCAGCTCAACACCGCAGGTGGTTAGCGCATTCGGCCCGTGATCGTGGAAGTTAATTAACTTTACCAAAGGTCGCTCATTGGATGGGTAACCAAAACCTTATTATCTCGAGCTCCTACGTCCTTCGGAAGTTGCACGTTTAGCCGTTGGTCGCGGCTGCATCTGCAGTCGCTAGCACTCTCCAATCCGCACTGGACCCACGTGGTAGATCACGGCCTCATCATCATCATCATCAGCCTATTAATGTCCCCACTGCTGGGGCACAGGCCTTCCCTATGGATGGAATAGGGAGATTGCGCCATGACCCACCACGCGGGCCCAGTGCGGATTGGCGGGTGCTAACGACTGCAGATGCAGCCGGGACCAACGGCTTAACGTGCCTTCCGAAGCACGGAGGAACTCGAGGTAGATGTTTTTGGTCACCCATCCAATGACCGACCACTGCGAAAGTTGCTTAACTTCAACCATCGCAGCCGAACGCGCTAACCACCTGCGCCATCGAGCTCCTCGGCCTAGTCTGCCTAATTCATCCATAGGGTAGACCTCTGCCCCTGCAGTGGGGACATCAATTAAATATGCTGCTGATGATGATATAGCTTCATAATAAAACTTACCTCTTGTCTTTCCTCTCGGTTTCATCTCCTCTTGGACAGTCGCAAAACCAACGACGTCTTTCTCTGGATTTGAGTTGCTGGACTCCAAAGTTCCTGGAATATTATATTTTTTAGGTTATGCTGGCACCTCACATGGTAATGGTTGTACTGTTGTCAAATTTAGATAAAGAAAAAAATCAAAGGCCATCTTAAATGCCATCATTAAATTTATGCGGCAAAACAAACTCTAAAATTAAGGTAGTAAAAAAATGCATCATTAATAATGCATAAATATTTTATTTTTCAATTTCGTTATAGGTATGGGTATATTGTGCAATAAAGAACTTTGCGATCTGGTAATCTATAAAATATCTTAACAATCTACATGAGTATCTTTAATTTTTATTTTTATGTAAAGCAAAGTAATGTTAATTACCTATTAGGTAATTTAAAGTAATTAAGTAAATGTATTAACAAACAACACAATAGAAACTGTCCATTTAACTTCCAGCTATACTTGTTTGCACTTTGTGTGGCATTCAATCATCTTTGATATGTTAATCTCTGTAACCGAACAACTAGGCTAATATTTAATGTCTTTTTATATAAGTTCTTCTATATTGTAGAATTGTTTTGGTTAAGTTGTATTGTAATTATCTCATTCTGGTTGGCCGAGGGCCTGGTGATCTGTAATACAGGTATTTCTATACCCATGTCAGACACCAGCTTCTCACAACCTACAGGTTTATCATTTTTGTATTCACCTATTACAATAGCATCATGTTGTGAGGAGAAATAAATAAATATATTATATTATTATTATTATTATAATGTTCAAGCAAAGGGGCGACTAAATGCGCATACATGGTTTAATAGCTCAAATAAAATTATTTGGTACTTACCTTTGTTCAGTTGCATCAGTAGGTGTATCATGTCTGGCCTAACTACGTTGTTCTTCTCCCTGTACTCCATGGTGCTTGTCACTATGTCGGTGAAGAATTTCGTGGTTTTTGTCGGGCGGAGACGTAGTTTTGTCAACTGACGGAAAGGCGAAAGAGATTGAAGTAAAACGTAAAATACCAATCATTTCATATCTATTATACTTCAAAGTGTTAATAAAACTAAATCAAGTACCATGAAATTAACGGCAACTTTTTACCTTTGTAAATATTGGGAACTGCACACACAAGAATAAATATATCTTTTGAAAAGTGTTGAAATTGAACAGATTCTGTCCACACTTGAAAAACTCGTTGTCTCTTTCATTCAAGGAGTTCACTTGGAGGCCAAATGCAGTGGAAGCTATAACGTCAGTGGTGAAACGACGCATGATGTCATCTAAATTTACGTCTTTCCCATTTTGTGCTAAAAATAATATCTTATGTAAATAAGCATGTATCATAAATCTTTTCAAACATTGAATCTTTATCACTTTGATGGATTTACTGCTATTGACATGGGCCAACATGTCTGCATTCCATTGAGAAAAGGGAGAAATAAGTGCAATTAGGACCTCAATAGATGCATAAAATCTGACCTTGTGGGTAGGTAGAATTTTGTTGGTCTCTCTACCCGCATTCCACTAAGAAAGGTAGTAGATAATTCTGTACAGGAGAAGTAAAATAGTTATGACTATATATAGCTTATGACTAGAAAAAATCCGCTAAACTTACTCTTTATAAGTGGGAAGAATTATTGTAACTTCACCATTGGTGGTTCCATTAAAAATACATACAAACGACAACAAAAACTTTTGACAACAGACGAAACTTCGACAATACTTGAGGTAAAGAGCATGTTTGTAAATCCATTCCAGCCACCGTCGTTGCGAAATTAGTTTTATAGAGAATCATCATCAGCCGGTGGACGTCCACTGCTGGACATAGGCCTACTCAAGGGATTTCCATATGAAACGATCCTGCACGCTCCGCGTCCAGTGCCTCACTCGCTTGATGTCGTCAGTCCACCTGGTGGGGGGTTTACCGACACTGCCCACTGAAGCACCTTGGTACCCCAATGTTCATTAGTTCGCGGAACTAAGTGCCCCGGCCATTGCCACTTCAGCTTGGCGATCCGTTGAGCTATGTCGGTTGTTCTTGTTCTTCTACTTATTTCTTAGATTAAAACAAAAAGGGTAGATACGCTACACTCATACTCGCATCAAACAAAAACTGATCCCACGGCAGCGCGAATGGGACGGCTAGATCCGCGTCACTGCATTACCGACCCGAGCGAAACAGCACGTTAAGTTTCAACGGCAGCGCGAACGAAACGGCGAGATCCGCGTCACTGCACTACCGACCAATCACGCGACCAGTACTCGACGTCACTACCGAATAAGATTCAAAACAAATAGCAATTTTTATGAAAAAATATATTTTATAGTACTTACGAATGAAAAGTGATGCCGTGGGTTTTATTTTTAGTTCTTGAGCAATTTGAGCACTTTTTAAAAACATACTTAGGCATTGTTTTATCATAGAAACACAAAATATTATCAATATTTCTTTTTGGCGTTCACATGTACGTCGTTTGCATGTCAAGTTGTGACTAAAGCGATTAGGGTCGTGGACCACAATTTGTGCGGATCACTTTTGTGATGCTAGTGCCGTATCTACCCTTTTTGTTTTAATCTAAGACTTATTTCCTCATTCCTGATTCTGTCACATAGAGAAACACCGAGCATAGCTCTCTCTATCGCTCACTATGCTACTCTGAGCCTTCTTATGTATTATAGCGAATAGTACACAATAATAGATCACAGTAAATTAACGCTTTCTTTTTAACGTTTCTGTTCTAAAATACCATTCATAACATATTTGGCTAACCTTTCAATGCATCTACGATGTTGTTGGTGATCTCATGGATAAAGGGCATCATCAGCTTCATCTTGTTACCGGTAAAAGCTGGACTCAATGACGTTCTCATGTCTTTCCATTTATCGTCTGAAATAAATAAACATTTATAAGAACTTGAGCTTAGACTGAGGACTACGAGATTCGTGAGAAGGAGAATTGATTTTAATAAATAGGGTATGGTGCAAAATAGATTCGGAGTACGAGATTTTACTAACTTTTTGGGATGGTATCCAAAATAGGTTATTGAGAGTGTGGAAATGGCATATTTCATAATTATTAATATGGGTGCATACATCATTGGCGCATCTTGGAAGAACATAGACAAGGTTCTTCTATAGCCAGGAATAGCCCTTGTCAAGGTTTGTAAAAACGTAGTTTCTATCACGTACAGTCTACACTTTGAAATTACAGGCACTGTCACAAATTTTTTAAGCAATTTTTATTCATGACTCCAAAATCAGTAGCGACGCAAGCTGGGGTAATTGTTTTCGAAGATAAAGCCTCCCTACTAGCTATTTTCTATGTTGGTGGGTATGAAACATCTACTTTGAACATCAGATGATGATATGGAATGAATCGTATGGTGTATGCGGTTGTTTTTTTCTGACATTTCGTTCCAAGCATGCGGCATTGACAGCAATCAATGTTAATTGTTGATCACGATAACTTGTCGTGCCGCAAAGTGCCGCATATTGTTCTAGCGTATGTGAGTCCTGGAACCTTGCTCACCGATATACACAAATACTTGTCTCGGAGTCATGATTGTTTATATTTGTACTACATTTAATTAGTTATGTAATAATACAGTTATAATACCCTCTACTCTTCGCTGTATTGATCAATTCTATTTCTAATAATATTTCTTCTTCCTACCACCTATATGCAGATGACCTCCAGATTTATCAACAAGCTCCCGTTGGTCAACTTGGTGATGCAGTGTTGGCCACTAATAGTGACTTGAACATTATTTTGGAATGGAGTAAATCTTTTGGGCTGGACGTTAATCCTTCTAAAACAAACACTATAGTAATTGGAAGTTCCAGGATGATCACTAGAGTTGACTGGCAATCACTCCCCAAAGTCCATCTTGCGGGCACCAATATTCCATTTAGCACCTCAGTGAAAAACTTAGGTTTAACTTTCGACAGCTGCATGAGTTGGGGACCCCAGATGCAAGTGCTCAGTCGTAAACTGTTTGCTTCCGCAGCTTCTTTAAAGAGACTGCGTAATTTCCTACCCACTACCACCAAAATTACCTTAGCTCAGACACTCTTGCTTCCTATTCTTGATTATGCTGACGTCTGCTATCTAGATCTCACGGAGGCCCAGCTTGATAAACTTGAGCGGCTTCAGAATTTCTGTATACGATTCATATTTGGCCTGCGCAAATATGATCATGTTTCTCAATTTCGTTCACAGCTCAAGTGGCTGCCTATTCGCTTTCGCCGGAATACTCATATCCTTATTCTTCTCTATAACGTACTGTTTAATCCTTTGACCCCGCGCTATCTTAAGGAATGTTTTAACTTCCTTCACACCTCTAACACATTGTCCCTAAGGTCATCAGAAAATTTTGCTCTGATTACACCTGTGCACGGAACAACTTTTTATGGCCGCTCATTCGCAGTGCAAGCTGTTCGCCTATGGAATTCGCTTCCAGTTTCCATTAGACGTGCAGAATCTCTGCACAGATTCAAAAACCTTCTAAAATCTCACTATTTGTCCTTATAGCTCTTCTATTCTATTTATTTCCTCTCAAAGAACTAGACTTATATATGGTACATACTTATGTATTTTTTAGTGTGTATATATATATATATATATATGTATCTATTTACCTATGTATATATGAGTGTATTTATGTATATCTATGTATTTATATGTGTTTATTTGTTTTATATACTCGGTTTGTACATAGATTTTCTCGCGTATTATTGCAGTTAATTACACCGCCGTCTTTCCAGCTTCTTTCTTGTCCTCTCCATCCCAAGGTTGTCTGGAAGAGATCGCTCTTAGCGATAAGACCGCCCATTTTTACACTTTAAGCAGCCATTATGTATGTTTTATATATTTTTTTTTTTTTGTGGTGTAAAATAAAGAGTTTTTATTATTATTATTAATACAAAATCCGCTTAGCTTAGAACAAAATTATTGTAATGAGTTGCCCGAAATATTAATCATTAACCCCTACGATACTGAATAATATAATAAATATTTAATGAAGCACTCGTATCTTATACATATTTTATTTAATATTACATGCTTCATATTCTCGGAGATGTTGGTAATTCCAGATATTATTTTGTTTGAAGTAGGTAGGTATACGCATATATTAATTAAATAATCCTTTATGAATAATGCTCAGCAACATGTATTTTAACAGAAATAACAAAATCATTACAGAAACTGTGTGTTTTATAAATATTAATCTAGGTACCAATATAATTATTAAATTTTATGACACCGTAATTTAATTTTAACTTTTAAGATTCATTTAATAAAGCCAACATTATAATCACAAATCAATTTAAAAAAAACAATTTACATTTAGATATTAAACTAAAACTACACTAAAACTGGTCACAAATTAAAAATATTAAAAAAACAGCTGCCCTAAGTCTTTCCCGTCGGCAAAGGTTCCCAGGACGCTGGCGGCATTTCTCCGCTGAATGGCGAGGTTTATGCGCTGGGCGAAATAGCCGCCAGCTCTGCGGTCTCCAGTGGTCTCCACTAATCTTTTCGCTATATCTTTGAAAAGATGGTGGGCACCGGATCCCCAGGGTTTCTGAGTCTCGACACCAAACGCCGCAATGTGAGGTCTCCACTGAGGCAATCATACTTGCGGCGCTTAAGGTCCTCTGCGGCCTTTTATAAATTGATGTTTATTTTTTTCTTAACAAAGTAGATCGGTATATAATTGACTGATTTTAAAAATAGAAACTTTTCAATTGTGTTTATGAGTTCAAAACCGTATAACATATTGCTTTAACTTTTTTATAAGTATTTTATTTATAAAAGAATATCAACAATATTCACTTTAGTTTTTTTAGCATTTAACTGAAAATTTTCTAAATCAAAAGAAAAAATTCTAAAACATCCACTCGGTCCGGGCATCAGACAGGATTCGAACCTACACCTTCCTTCATTATAACCATTATAAAATAAATATTATAATCCACGATCAAATAATGTAAAATTTAGTGCTCATCGTCAGCACAAAAAATGGAATAATTCCCGAAAATACTAAATTTCATACAATTCTGTTAAGTAACAAGCACACAAACTTTCAAATTTATAATATTACATTTTCCTATCCTAGTGGGTTTATAAAGGTACCCATTTTAAATACATATTCTTTATAAATACTCAACCAAATTTTCCTAAATTTGTAGGTTGCATCAAGCAAGTTGAATGTATCTTATATGCAACATATAGGTTATCACAATTATATTTTTTGCTCCCCCACGTAGACTGCGTTTAAAACACAATTACATTATGAGAATTCTGAGTTGTTTCTATCAACATTTCATATTGCTTTTAGCAGTTGGGTCGGTGCACTCGGTGCCCCTAATAATGCTGCGTTTCCACTTAGCGCTCAGAACAGTTCTGAGCAAGCAAACATTATTTTGTTCGCTTCGTAAATGAAAATATCAGAGAGAGCGAACGAGTTCGTTCAACAATGCTCGGCTCAATTATTAAATTGAAACAAGGCAACACCGAACGAACACTTGCTTTCAGCATTTGCTCAGAGTTTGATTCTCGGTGGGCATCGGATCATCGGTTTCTTGTGTAACTAAATAAAACGCAATGTACGGACAAACAAAAGAGGTGATGACGGGACAGTGAACCAAGTTAACGATTTTTTTTTATCTTTTGTCAATCAACCAAAAAGTGACAAAGATAAAGCGCATGAAAGGTCGAGGAGTAGGGACTCGTGACGTCACTGCTAAGTCAAATTGTACCAAGACGTGATGTCATGTGACATTTCAAATCAATATAACTTTGTAATATTTGGATTATGTGAAAAAGATTAGAATTAAGGTAGATTACCAATAAGTATTAGACAATAAATACGTGTCTAATACTTATTGGTAATCTACCTGATAGACGTATAAAGAAAAGTTATTCATCATCTCAATTCTACCTCCGAACATGTTTAGCTATCACAATGGAAACAAGTACTACTAACTAGTAGTGACCTCTTGCAAAATACCAAAAATTAGCTCTGAACAAAATGTTTGCTCGTTAGCTAAGTGTAAATGTAGCACGCGGCCTTGGAATTAACGCAAACCATATAGAGATAGCTAAAAATACACAATGACGTCTAATACAGTACAATAACATGACCCGGCCGTGCTAATAATAATAAAAAGATAATGTTCAATTACTCTATCGTAATATGTATCCAGATTATAAAACACGTTATATAACTTTTGTAAAGCCGCCGCCAATACATGTTTTGGGTTTTAAAATTCCCTTTCTGAAAGATGTATTTAAAAGTGCCTGTTGGGTTTTTTTTGTTAAAGGGGTAACAAACAAGCATAATATGGCCCGTCTGATGGTAGGCAGCTACCATAGGCTATAGATAGACGATTGCGATACAAAAAATATCATTACCTGGACCCCCTCTACCTGGTACCTGGACACGGAGCCGGGGGGGGGGGGGGGGTCTGCGTCTGGGGCATGGAACACCGTGGCCCTCGTCTTCTCGAGGGCCACTTCCAGACCCAGGAGGCGGATGCGTCTGACGAGCACGGAGGTGCCGACCGACGCTTTCGCCGCGACAAGGGTGTCGTCCGTAAAGTAGACGAAATCCATCCGCGGCAAGAGCTCACCACGCAGGACCCAGTTATACCCCAGGTTCTATAGTAGAGGGCCTAATACGGAACCCTGGGGCACATCTGCCGCCACTGGCCACGACTGGACGCGGCCCTCCTCATTCTCGTACAGGGCGGTCCTGTCTTGCAGGTAGTCCTGGAAGAGGGCGCGGAGGTAGAGGGGGACTCGGTGGAACTCTAGCGCCGCCTGTACGCACTCGTGGGGGGTGGTGACCACCTCAGTCCACCTTTTGAGGTGGCCCACCGCGTCCATCGTGGACCGGCCGGTGCGGAAGCCGTACTGGCAGTCAGCCAAGTCCGGCCCCTCGCCCTCAATGTGCTCGATGATTCGGGAGGCGAGGATCTTCTCAAATCCTTCCCGGCCTTATCGAGCAACACCACCGGCCGATAGCCCGCTGGAGAGTCTGCTGGGCGGCCCTCCTTACGGAGCAGGCAGAGCCGCCCCAACGCCGTTGCCTACCCTGACCTAATACCCTACCCCGTGGAGCCCTGAAACCTTACCCACTGTCAGAAACGCAACACCACCAAAAGGCATTGTTATTTTACTGTGATCTTCAGTAAGGTGGAGGTTACTTCCCCAGACGGACGCTCCAATTCAAGCGGAATATTAGCTATGCGCTACCTCTCTTAAGTCATCGTTTTTTTTATCCCACTAAATTATTACACAGTCAGATCATAAGTATTGTCACACAGTAAAAACTTTTCTTTAAGAATGCTGGCCACAAAAAAGTTTATTGAATTCGAATTTCGAAGTGAAGAAGCGAGCAACCGTATTCCGCGTGTCCAACGAGGTCATTTTCCATCCTCGCTCATGGTATGGTAGGGAGTTTCTTATTGGGGCTTAACAGAGGTACATTTTTGTGAGAAAGGTGTAAAAACGAATGCCGTTGTGTATTAAAATACAGTTACATAATGAATAAACTTGTTTTAATTAATTTATATTAAACATTTGACAGAATTTATGACCTGACTAGGTATAATTCTCACCTTTCATCATGATGAGAGTCAGAGAGAAAAGTGGTTCCATCTCTTGCGTGAAGAAGTCCGTGTGGTTCAAGAAGTGATCGAAGTCTTTAACCGTGATTTTCTTTATGAGCTCCGGGTCCCGGACCAGTATGACCGGCTTCGTACCTTCTACGTAACCCATGTATCTGTAGACAACATAAATATCAAACTATGTACTTATTTACAGTCTGACAACGATAACTTTGCAGAGGGAATAATCATTTTTTTAAATATTAACAATAAATTAAATATACGATTTTATTAGGCAAATATTCGGCCGAACATTCAGCGCATCTCTAGTTATTATTAACAAAGAAAATAAAGTAATAAAAATATTAAACTTCTTTTTTTTTAAGCATTTAACTGCTAGATGTTTAATAATAAAATCTAAAGAAAAGTTTTATTAGAAAAAAAAATCATTTGACATTGTGGTACCCACAATGCGGCCATCAGAGCCGTAAGCATAATTGGTCAGTGCATTCGCCCGGACTGCGAAGGGTGCGGGTTCGAGTCCCGTCCGCTGCCTGGTCCGCGTGGATTTTTTTCTGATAAATATTTAATATCTGTCAAAAGTTCAAAAAAAAGTTCATGTTGCTTGGACCCTTTGGACGAGTGTATTACTCGCATAATCGACATTTTTTTAATTTTAGTGAAGTTTTTTCAGTGTCAGCTTACCCAAAACATCGAAAAAAGATACATTTTTCTATTTTTTTTGTTACATATTTTCTTTTATGAAAATTCTACGAAACTGACCTATGCTGTGACCACAAGGATAACTTTAGGGAATGTTCTTCAACATTTAAAGCGATAAGTAATTGCGGAATCGTTAGTACGGTATCCCGTTAGCTCTGGAATTTCGGGGAAATTTAAAAGGAGCTGCAACTTGATACCAACTGAAGTGTCTCTTCGTGTTTGAGAGCAACTTAGCTAAAGGCAGAGTCGACTAAACCTATTGGAGGATCGACATTTCGATTACATTAAAATTGTCTTACCAAAAGGAATACATATTAACAGTGGCAAGGCAAAAATCGCTTAATAAATAATTGTTCGCGTGGTAAATTTTAACAATATCTTTCTGGTAACTTCGAAAGTCAATATGGGCCTTGATTTCAATAAATTATCATACAGACCATCTCAATCGGGACGGTGATTTGTGTAATTTGTAAGCAATCTAGCTTCTCGGCACTGGTATCGTAACAATTGAATATTAAGCGATATGACATTGAGTGTGCGTTTGTGACGGAAATAATATAGCGATGGAGAGAAACTGACCTATCTTTCAAACCGAAAACTTATTACATTTAATATATATTTCTAATTTGAGTAATTTGCCTGCGGGCGCAGATTTCACTATTAATTACAGATAGCCTTTTTGGGTTCCATGGTCTTGAAACTCTGACCTGTGCTTCATTATCAAATAACGTAATATCATCATCATCATCATCAGCCTATTAATGTCCTCACTGCTGGGGCACAGGCCTTCCCTATGGATGGAGGGAGGTTGGGCCACCACGCGGGCCCAGTGCGGATTGGCGGGTGCTAACGACTGCAGATGCAGCCGGGACCAACGGCTTAACGTGCCTTCCGAAGCACGGAGGAGCTCGAGATAGTAAATTTTTGGTCACCCATCCAACGACCGACCACTGCGAAAGTTACTTAACTACAACGATCGCAGCCGAACGCGCTAACCACTTGCGCCATCGAGCTCCTCCTCCTAACGTTGTATAACTTAAATAAAAGGGATTGCATTAAACATAAGGCTTTATTTACAGTTGCATTTGCCTCGAGCTGTCTACGAAGTTCAATTCAAAATATTCAAAATTCAATATCGTTTAAATCTAAAAAAAATATTACTAGAAAAAAATCCACGCGGACCTGGCAGCGAAGGGACTTGAACCAGCACCCTTCGCGGATAGCAATTTTTTCTACTAAACTTTTCTTTATATTAAAAAATCTAGCAGTTAAATGCTTAAAAATTAAAAACATAGCTTTATTGATATTTCTTGTTTTAAATGTTTAATACTTGTAAAGGTATTTCATTTGACATTGTGGTTTACCTACAATGCGAAAAGATGGCGCTGCCTTGCAGCCTAAGGCTAGAGAAAATTCCACACGGCTGTCAGGGCCGCGGTAGCATAATGGTCAGTAAATTCGCCCGGTTGCGAAGGGTGCGGGTTCGAGTCCTGTCTGCTGCCTGGTCCGCGTGGATTTTTTTCTAGTAAATTTTCATATTTAAACATCTAGCAGTTAAATGCTTAAAAAAATAAAAACATGTCAATATCGTTTATTCAGTCAAGCACTTGTGAATGTCGAAAAGCTACGTCATCGGTTCGCAAATCTACGGCGGGAAACCTTGTACTTAGAAGAAGCGATAAGAAACTCAGCATGGGCTGTTTTTTCTGCCTGTATTATATACAGAGGCGTCAAATTGAAATATGAATTCAAAATGAGACAACTCTTGAAGTCACTTCCCATTACAAATGTAAATGTTATAAAAAATATGACTATAAAATAAAAAAATATAAAAAACTGATTCAACAAAGTTTAGGAATGCTTAGGAATCCCGTGTCCTACTGTTTTGCCATAAAAAATGTACGATTAAAGTTATCTATACTTATAATAAATCTGTAGAGAGGTCAATTCTGTACATGAAATATATTTTCAAAATAACTATCAGGGGATGATTAGTGATCGATACTGATGCCAAAAATACAATCAGTAAAATTTTTGTCTGTCTGTCTGTCTGTCTGTGTGTTTGTTCCTTATAGAAACAAAAACTACTCGAGAGATTTTAACGAAACTTGGTACAATTATTCTTCATACTCCTGGGCAGGTTATAGTATACTTTTCATCACGCTACAATCAATAGGAGCAGAGTAGTGAAGGGAAATATTGGAAAAACGGGAGAAGTTACTCTATTTTTTAAGCTTCCGTCGCGTGTGCAGCCTTAATGGTTAAAGTTACATAGAAATCATGTATGACGGAAATATTCTACATAAAATTGTCTACAAAATATCCCGCAACAGCATATGTCTATCTTTTATGGTTGACTCACAATAACACGTGTAATCTATACTTATAATAAATCTGTAGAGATGTCAATTCTGTACATGAAATATATTTTTAAAATAACTATCAGGGGGTGATAAGTGATCGATACTGATGCCAAAAATGCAATCAGTAAATTTTTTGTCTGTCTGTCTGTCTGTGTGTATGTTCCTTATAGAAACCAAAACTACTCGACGGATTTTAACGAAACTTGGTACAATTATTCTTCATACTCCTGGGCAGGTTATAGTATACTTTTCATCACGCTACAATCAATAGGAGCAGAGTAGTGAAGGGAAATGTTGGGAAAACGGGAGAAGTTAATCCATTTTTTAAGCTTCCGTCGCGTGTACAGCCTTAATAATTAAAGTTACATAGAAACCATGTATGACGGAAATATTCTACATAAAATTGTCTAAAAAATTTCCCGCAAAAGCATATGTCTATCTTTTATGGTTGACTCACAATAACACGTGTAACTCCCGATAGCTTAGCAGTTCGGAGCATTCTGATCATATTTGTTTACTCTTACGTTTATAATACTCTGACTCATCCCTAATTTAAAAAAGTTAACATTATTACCTATTCAATAAAAAAGCCAATAATGAAATAAGCCATCGCGCCGTCGCACGTGAATACTGAATCATGCTATAAGGATTATTTTTGTGTAACGGTTGCCGCGCTCGACACGGGTCGCGGCGGCGGTAGGGTATCAAAATACGGGAGGTCCGGGAGCGAGCTGTCTAAATCTGTTTTCTGCGTCGTCGTCCCCCCCCCCCCCCCTGGGGGACGATCGCTTCCGATGAAGCCTTAGAGGCCTTCCCGGCCAGAGGCAGCCCCTACGGGTGTTTTTTAGTCAGTACGAGTCTGACATAACCTTGCAGCCGGCTGTAGGGTATCCATGAGGATTTCTCACCTGCTCCCCAAAACAAAAAAAATAAAAAAGGAGAGCGAGCGAGCTTCAATATTTGGCTGTTGATGCGTTCAGAGCGTTCGACCTTATTGACAGACAATAATTGAGAAATATTGAGTAACCGTGCTTATCAGCGCGACTTTTAGTCTTTAAATAGTTTATTTAAATTTCTTTTGTTGTTATTTTGTAAAATAGGTATTAGTTGTTTTGGTAGTGTTTAAATATTCGTTCAAATTAAAAATTATTAAGCGTAGGTACTTTTATTAATAAAGTAGTTATAAGTATTTATTTTTAAGTGAAGTAGGTATAGGTAGATAGTATTGCACAGGCGTTTCAGCTTTATTTTCATTTCTTTTTTGTTGTGAGTTGTATATATTTCTGGTTATAATTCTATAAGAATATTTTAGTTTAAATAGTCACTTAGATTTTAAGTGTAAGGTAGCTAAAGTTAGGACCACGTATTAGTTGTTTTGGTAGTGTTTAAATATTCGTTCAAAGTGTAATGTAATCATATGGGATGAATGTACGATGCCCCATCGAAAAGGAGTAGAAGCGGTAGACAGAACTTTAAGGGATATAAGACAAAATGATCGACCAATGGGCGGTATCACAGTTTTATTTTGTGGTGATTTCCGACAAACCTTACCGGTAATATCACGGGGAACCCGAGCTGATGAGGTTAGGGCTTGCCTGAAAAGCTCTTATTTGTGGCGTGATATACAATCGGTGCATTTGACTATAAACATGCGAGTGAGAACTGTAGATAACCCGGATGATCGTGAATTTTCTGATATATTATTAAAGAAAATACCTTCACCAAAGATACCTATCCACTGCTACACCAAGGAAAACTTATTCTGAAGCCTGAGTTATGTGGTATAGTGCAATCCCAACAACATATTACATCGTCAGTTTACGGTGACGTAACAAATATATTAAATAAGGATAATTCTTGGCTATGCGAAAGGTCCATTTTAACTCCTCGCAATGACCAGGCATCTGAGATAAATACTGTCGAATATCCAGGGGGAAAGCAAAGTTTATAGTTCAATAAATAGAATGGCCGATGAACAAGAAGCCACTAACTACCCGATAGAATTTTTAAATTCTTTAAATATGCCCGGACTTCCTTCTCATGAAATTTGTTTAAAAATTGGCATTCCGATTATTCTGCTCCGAAATTTA